CCCCATCTTCCTTCCAAGGAGTGGCTGGTGGGTTTGAACTGCCAGCCTTCTGGTTAGCAGTCAAGTGCCTTAGGCACTATGCTACCAGAGCTCTGTAAAGATTACATCCTTGAAAACCCTATGGGACAGTTCTACTCTGTCCTACAAGGTCGCTATGAGTTGGAATCGACTTGCTGGGAGGGGGTTTGGTTTTGAGTTTTTAATCACTAATGATCGTGAGCATCTTTTCACGTATCTTTTGGCTGCCTGAGTGTCATCTTTGGTGAACTGTGTGTTATATCCTTTGCTCATTTTTTAATTGGATTGTTGATCTTTTTGTCAATTTGTTGAAGTTTTCTATGCAATTTAGAGATTAGATTCTTCCCAGATATGTTCCTGCCAAAGATTATTTTTACCAATGTGTAGGTTCCCCCTGTACTCTCTTGATGAGAGTTAAGCATTGAATTTTTAGGAGGTCCTATTTATCTAACTTATTGCCTGCCATTCATACATTTTTAGTTTTGTTTGATAGGCTACTTATGCCAAAAATTTGGTCCTCTATGTTTTGACCCTATGTTAGCTTCCAGGAACTTTATAGTTTTACCTTTAACATTTTAATCTTTGATCCATTTTGAGTTATTTTTATGCATGGTGGGAGGTATGGATCTTGACTTATTTTTTTCTACATGTAGATAGCCACTTTTGCCAGCACCTTTTGTTAAAGAGATTGTTTCTTCCCCCACTGAATGGACCTTGAGCTTTTCTCAAAGATCAGCTGCCTGTAGTTGCTGTATGGTGCCGTCAAGTTGGCTCCAACTCAGTGACCCTATGTATGATAGAACGAAACGCTGCCTGGTCTATGCCAGCCCCATAATCCTTGCTATACCTGAGCCCATAGTTGCGGTCACTGTGTCAATCCATTTCATTGAAGTCTTCCTCTTTTGTGTTGACTCTCCACTTTGTCTAGCAAAGTAGGACCAACCAACCAGTTTCCTTATACTCCTCATGCTGACAAATTTGCAGGGAAGTATCAAACATATGATAACCAGAATCTCACTTATCAAAAATATTTGATTGGAAAGAAAAAAAAAAAGACCAAACTCACTACCATCGAGTCAGATCCAACTCATAGTGACCCTTCCTTGGGTTTCGGAGGCAGTATCACTAAGGAAGTAGATTGCCCAATCTTCCTTCTAAGGAGTGGCTGGTTGGTTTGAACTGCCAGCCTTCTGGTTAGCAGTCAAATGCTTTAGGCACTACACCACCAGAGCTCCCACTTGATCTACTGCTGGTGCTATTTTATGTTTTAATGTTGCCATCTCACACCTTGGATTAGCAGGGCCCTCAGTACTAACAGAGGCAGAGTCACCAGTGCCTTTATGATTAATCAAATTGGAGAACCAAAACAGAATCAGTGAGAACCAATTTAGGAAGCCCATCCTTATGATTTTGTCTCTCTAGGCAAGGCAGGGAGGAAGGGGGCAATGTGCTCCCCTAGTCTCCGGCATGGGTGCTGGGGCATTCCCTGTAGACCAAATGTGAGGAGGGCTCTGTCCAGGGTCTGAGTAGGTGGGAGATCTCTAGGCACCATGCCAAGGATCCTCCACTCTGCCCAAGTGCTCAGGGCCAGCTGCTGGTGAATACCTCTGCTCCTGTTGTCTGGCTCCTTCTTTGCTTTATGGCTGCCTGGTTCTCTGGGGCCCTGGCCGCCCTCCTGCACTTTCCCTTCTTGGATTCAGTTCATGTTCTGTTCACTTTGCTTCGTCCTGGCTTGTCCGCACCATATTTCTGTCTCCTACTGGGGATTCTGTGACGTTGCCTTCCTGTGTTCTTCACCCGGGAACACTGCTTGTTTTGTCTCAAGATGGCCATGCTGTACTGGGCCAGCTGGCAGGGTATCTACAGTCTGTAAGACCATCATTCACTGTTTTCATGAAGTCTCTCCTTACCTTTGGTGTTTGATCAAATTCTCTACCTTTCATTTGCAGTTCTGGGTCCTTAGACTGTCATCTGTATCTGTTTGACTTGGTCTCTTGGTTCTTCGCTGTAGGCGGATGGCGTGGTGTATGTTGCTAACCTGCCATCTTGGGCCATCCTCTCTACTACTTCTTCTTTAAATACTTTTTCATTGAATTAAAACGTGATCCATAAAGATGTACTGATCACTGAGTGAGCCCATGCAAGGCCATCTGGGGAGCACAGAAATGTAAAGTTCTCCCTGGAGACCATATAACCTCTTATGAAAAGAAAGGAAAAAGATACTGTATGTTATGGGTATGCAACCTGCGTCCTAAAACACTCGTCCTGCATTCATCAACACTCAAGTTAAATGTGAAGAGCAAAACTAACCCTGCAGGGACGTCTCACGGTTTTACTGTCTGTGACCAAATGACAGTCCAACAATGGGTTTGCATAGAAGAATTGCAACTTGCAGTTCTGTGCTTCCCCTAGACCAGGCATTTTATTCAGTACTTCCTTCTGTATCTTCACTGCCATGTTCTTTCTCAGCACACTAATTGAGTGTCATGGCTCAGCTTTGATGAATTTAACTTTCTTCACTAATGTAAATAAATATGAGACAAGACCATAAGTTGAAAAAAAAAAAAAGATGGTATGTAATAGGGCAATATGATTGTGTTTGAGTTTAGGGGTATAAAGTTCTTGGGTGGTACAAATGGTTAAGCACTTGGCTATTAACTGAAAGGTTAGTGGCTCAAATATCCCCAGAGGTGCCTCAGAAGAAAGGGCTGGCAATCTACTTCCAAAAACTCAGCCAATGAAAACCCTATGGAACACAGTCTGCTCTGATACACCTGAGGTCATCATGAGCTGGACTTAACTCAACAGCGATATTTTTTTTGCCCCAGTAAGTTGGGATAAACAAGAACATGGGCCAGTAGTCGTGGTGGTACTTATAATCTAGTCCCAGGAATAACTAGTAGCTGTCACTCTAGACAAGACATGTCATCTTAAGGGCCTCAGTTAAAGCAGGCTAGATTGGAATAGAGCAGCCCCCAGGAACACACAGTCACACACGTTTGCCCACACCTGGGACCAGCAAGCCAGGAAGCCATCATCTTCAGACTGGATGTGACATCCAAGAGGAAAACTAACTGTTTTTCCAGGGTTAGATAATTCCTGAATCCCTTCCAGTCCTAATCTCCTTAGTTTCGTAACTACAATCCTCTGAGCCTCATAAATCAGCTTTTCCATCCACCGAGGACTCAATTTATTCAGCATGAAATGTCAGTCCATTAAATCTACTATTAACATATGAAGATTCAAATGCATGATTCTATCTAAAGCACTATGAGTGGCTACATTTCCTCAATGCACCAAAGACAGAGACGTCAGCTAGAGGGCTTGTGTAGCCTAAAAGGGAAGCTGTATTTCCTAACTTGACCTGCACACAAGAGCAGTAAACTTAGCAGTGGTGCCAGATGAACCACTGTCACAGACATGTGTATCTGTCCTTATGTTATGATCTCCAAGGCAACTCCCTCCCCCGCTTTTCATTTGCTTCTGAATCTTGAAAGCTGTAAGAAGAAGACAAGTGCAGTTATTTTTATGTGTAAAAATAGGGGCAGCCTGCATTCCACACTGGAACCTAATATGCAGTTCCATCATGGGCAGGAATGCAGACCTTGGCCCAGATAGGGTGCTTTTAAAAACATATGTGAATTTCAGAGGAATGCTGGGAGTTGGCTCCCCAGAGCACAAGATTCTGAACACTGGAGCAGAACATGTAGGAAAAAAAATCACAAAGAAAGACCACAATTAAGCCTCCTTCCTTCCCTCCCAAGAAGCCCTGATAGCACAGTGGTTAAGTGCTTGGCTGCTAACAGAAAGGTCAGCTGTTTGAACCCACCAGCCACTCTGTGAGAGAACGATGATGGCCTGCTTCCATAAAGATGACAGCCTGAGAAATCCTATGGGGCAGTTCTACTCTGTCCTATAGGGTTGCTATGAGTTGCAATTGATGTGCTGGCAATGGGTACATCACATTCCCTCCCATCTGTGGTCACACGGCACGCTCCTTTCCATCTGTGGGCATACGTAACACACCATCCCATCAATAAGCACTTGCCTCATAGATGCTTCTATCCCCAAGAAAAGTGCAGGGTGTTGTTGTTATTTGCCGTTGAGTTGGACCTGACTCATAGCAACTCTTCCCTTGGGATTCCGAGGCAGTATCACTATGGAAGTAGATTGCCCAACCTTCCTTCTAAGGAGTGGCTTATGGGTTTGAACTGTCAGCCTTCTGGTTAGCAGTCAAGTGCCTTAGGCACTAGCTACCAGAGCTCCCAAGTGCAGGGTGGGAGAGGCTATCCCAGGCTGGGCTGAGGGATATGATCACAGGAAGATCCATGAGCTCAACAACAGGCTGTGGGCTCAGCCACACGAGCCTGTAACCACAGCTTAGGGGCAGCTAGAAATGCCCACAGGGCACTTTGTATAGACCAGGTCAGTGTCTGGTATGTCCAACTCACCATATCTTTGCTGGTCAAAGCTTTGGGGTCATTTATATTGTTTTTCAGTAAGTTGCATGCAGACAACATCTTTTCACTTAATTCATACCTAAAAGGGGGAAAAAAAAGAGAAAATAAAAGAGAACTGATCAGTGGCCAGAAAAGGAAAGTTATTTTTATACCCATCTCTATAATCCTTTAAAAGACCAGCCAATCTAGGCAGGTCCTAGTAGGGGAAGGTGCTTGGCTAGAGGTGGCATCAGCATCTGAGGACAGATGCTGTCCTAAATCAATGCCAGCCTCGTCAACCAGGACTCAGGGCCTTTACATGAGGGTGGTTTTGGAATCACCAGTTTTGGCCTTTGTGATGACAGGATATAACAACTGGAGATTCTTTACTCCTTTTGTTCTAAGGTCTTCAAAATATTTTTACTCTTAAGTACTTGATGAGGTCTGAATTCCCATGTATCCAATATGCTGGCCAGTACATCACACATCTGGGACCACATACTGTGTCACCAGAAGTGTCTGTTTAATCCACAGGAGAAAAGAAACTTGAAGACAGATTGAGATGACATGTGGTATAAAAATTTTATCTCAATAAAACTGTAAAAAGAATCAGATAACAAGATACTGAACTATTTGACAATGCTTGCAAATACTAATTAAGACCACTTACCTTATGTTAATTTGGTTAAACTTTCATTTGCCAAGTTAAACAGAGGTAAGTTTTCAGAAGTGTTCTACTTATTCGTCTTAAAGTGAAAACCCACACTGAAGTTTCCATCTGTTCTCTCCCACTTCCTAAGCATCAAATCCATTTTGGCAGTAGACTTTAAATTTGACATTTGTAGGTATATGTTTCAGCCAACCAGGGTTTTTATTTGATATTTTATTTCAGCTACTATCCATGGTAACCCTGAATCCATCCTTGTGGTGTTCCCACATCACTCAACAAATACAGACATGAGACCGACACACATCATCTTTACAGTAAAAGTGGTATTTGGTTGAGGCCCAGAGAACTGTTCCTCTCACACACAGTGATCCTGTAATAAGAGGACTGCCACTAGCATCAAGATAAAATAAAATCTGCAACTTAAAAAAAAAAAAAGCAGGCTGGTCACAAACAAATCCTAATGTCTTTCAATATAAGGTGGGAGATTCAAACAATGGAAACCTTAGCAACGCTTGCCAGTTCTGTATGGAGTCCTTGCAAGACACAAATGGTTAAGTGCTTGACTATTAACCTGAAGGCTGGTGTTTGAACCTACCCCCTGGCACCCCAGAACAAAGGCCTGGCAGTCTGCTTCTGAAAGGCCAGAGTTGAAAACTATGGAGCATGGTTCTACTCTGCGACACCTGGGGTTGCCATGAGTTGGAATGGACTTGATGGTAACTGAAGCTAGTTTGTGGATGGCGGCTCCACATCTAATATTAGACAGCAGATACAGGCTCCCTTGTTTTGTTGCGCTTCATTTTACTATACATTGCAGACACTGCATGGAGCAAGTCTACCAGTGCCATGTTCCCCACAGCATGTGATCACTTTGTCTCTTTGTCTCATTTTGTCATTCTCACAGTATTTCAAACGTTTTTATCATGCTATTGCACACTGCATAGACTACAAGAGAATACAGACATAACTTTCATATGTACTGGGAAACCAAAAAATGTGTGTGACTTGCTTGACTGCAATATTTGCTTTACTGTAGTGGTCTGGAACTGACCCCGCAATATCGCTGAGGTCTGCTTGGAGCTAAAGTTTGAGGAAACAAAGGGGGCCGGATGTCAAGCCATTCTCTAGTCTCTCTAAGAGAACCTTGCATTACACACTCTGTTCCTAAATTATCAGAAGCAGGAAAAGATAGCCCAACATAGAGGGACAGATAAAGTTTAGTTTTCCTTTAAAAAGACTGAACAGATGCAACTGCCAAATCTCCTCCCTGGCAACGCAAACATCAGAGGACATTCAACGTGGGCAGGGGTGGGGAGGGGAGGGAAATGTACCACACCTCTCTCTGATTTCCACCTTCCCAGGTTCACATTCTGGAACCTGCATTTCAGCTTCCACCCTGGCAGACTTGCAACCTTCCACATTAACGGCCCGGTGCCCTTCCGCCACTGCCTGTGTGTCTTCGTCCTCCTCGTCCTCCTCCTCTTCTTCAGGAGGGTACTCAATGACATCTCCTTCATCATCTGACTCGGAGGAAGAGCTCTCATCTGAGCTGGAATCGTCACTGGAAGTTGTCTCATACCTAGGTGGCAATTGGGATTTCAGGAGATGCAAGGCATGCCTTAAAGACCCAGTGACACTTAGAAATGGCTATGAAGGAAATGCTGCCACCTGATTCCAGAAATTTCATCAGGGGTTAGAGACCCTGCACTCAGAAGTTCAAAGTCAGGTCTGTTTAAATGCTGGGTGGTTTTGCATGGGAGTCCCTGGTGCAAATAATTCATGTGCTCAGCTGGTAACCAACAGGTTGGAGGTTCAAGTCCTCCTAGAGGTCCTCAGATGAAAGGCCTGGTGATCTACTTCTGAAAACCAGCCAATGAAAACCCTGTGGAGGCCAGTTCTACTCTGACATGCCTGGGGTCACCATAAGTCACAATCAACTCAGCAGCGACTGGTGGTGGTGGTTTTGGATGGGGTAGGACTTAAAAGGGACAACTTAGGTTCGCAATTAGTATCACATTACTTGTTATTTAAAAAAAAAGAAAAAAATATGGCACCCCGGCTTAGTCTAAATGAAGAGGAAACTTAAAAAAAACCCAGGTCTGCAGTTGCTCAGTTTTTCTTTCTGCTCCATTCCACCCCCTGCCATGTTCCTGCTTTGCCTCCTTAATTCCCCCAGTGCCATGATGAACAGATTCTAGTGTATCAATGATTTCTCTGGTGCGTGCCCTCCAGACCTCCTGGGCCACCTCTCCTGAGGTGACCTTTAAGATGAGAAACAGGCACCATTAGGCTAAGTCTTTCAGGCAGACTTGACTAGGATCTCAACTGACTCTGCACTACTGCTTTCTTGTCAAGGTCACGCACTGGATTAATTGACTCACTGCTTTGGTTCAGCTATGGGAGGGCAGACAAACTTAACTGTTTACCTAGGCCAATTGACAGAAAAGGCATCAACTACGAAAAAATAGTCTACTTAGAAAGCAGAGAACTGACGGCATGGCTTGGTGACTCTTCACAAGAAAGGCCTCAGAATCTTGTTTGGGAATGTGGAGAGCTGAGCAAAATAGCCCATTTGGAAGGAGTGGGGTGATGCTCCTGGTCTCTGTCCATTTCTTTCTGAATTCAGTGCCATGGTCCAGCACAGCACAGGCCACACACTGCCTGCCGCTCTTGCTGAGGACTATGCTTTTCAGAGCAGAGAAGAGAAGAGGTAAACTCCTCAGCCATCAGGTGTCCTCACAGAAAGCAAGAAGAGGGGAGGAGAGAAGCCCATTGCACCTTTCTGAGGAGGGACTCTTCTGTCACCAAGATGTGGCAGCATCCCAGACCCGGTACCTTTAAGTAGGACTTAAGCCACAGGAGGCAAAAGAGACAGACAGACCGACCATGTACAACCTCTAGGACCAAGATCTTTCTTACCCTCCGTTAATGCCAACAAACTGGAGATTCTTTTTTGCGCCATTTGAATCTTTGTTTCCATCTTTCTTCTTCATGATGGACTTCAGTGTGCTTTCGTTATTTGTATACGCTGTGAAAAAGTGAACCAAAATGATAAAAATGAAAACAATTCATACCCATACACAAGAGCCCTGGTGGTGCAACAGTGAAGTGCTCAGCTGCCAACTGAAAGGTTGGCGGTTTGAACGCACCCAGTGGCTCTGTGGGAGAGACCTGGCAATCTGCTCCTGTAAAGATGACACCCTAGAAAATCTTGTATGAGGCAGTTCTACTGTCACATGGGGTCACTCTGAGTCAAAATTGACTCAATGGCACTCAACAACCACAACATATCCATCCAAGTTAAGTGAACATATCACCTTTCTCCACATACATTTTATTTTTTTTCATTTGTGTAAATGTAGCTCTTGGCATGTATACAGGGAAAAACTTACACATGCTGGAAAATGTTGTGGGCACAAAGAAAATAATTCAAAGTTCCATTAATAAACTAGATACTAGAAACAGGAAAAGGATCCATCGGTACTTCCAGATGTAACAAAAGCAGTGACTGACAGCATTTGTGTCATTTGATAACCTGATGCTGTATCTTATCTGATCCTCAAGAACCATTTAGGCCTGGAGGCAGAGATGAGTCAACCTCTCTTTCTTCAGCTAAAATAACCTGGAACTTGGACCCCGAAAACACATCCCTGATAGACTGTGAGAGTTAACTACTGTTTAAAATATTTCATAATGAGCAGTATGATAAGGTTTCTTAAGAGGATCCTACACCTTTCCTTCTTTGTTGTTACCTGCCATTGAGTCGGTCCCTGACTCAGGTGACCCCATGCACAACGCTCCCTGGTCCTGCCCGTGGCCATGATCGCTGTGGATAGGCCCGCTGTGAGCCACAGGACTTTCCTGGCTGATTTTCAGGAGCAGATTGTCAGGCCTTTCCTCCTGTCCTGTCTTAGCCTGGAAGCTCTGCTGAAACTTGTCCAGCATCGCAGTGACGTGCAGGCCTCCACTGACAGACGGGTGGTGGCTGCACCTAAGGAGCGCTGGCCAGGAACTGAATGAACCCGAGTCTCCCAGAGGAGGGTGAGTAATCTACCACCGTGCCATCACTGGGCCTCGTTTTGTTTCTTTAGCAATTACTTCAAGACACTCTAGGCCTACCTTCCCAACAACTGTATAGTCTTTTCTCCCAGTCAACTTGAAGGCAAGCAAACTGACTTTACACTGGGAATGCTGGCCACGCTGGCCCCAGGCCCTTAATGCTAAGAAACATTACCGTAGAGGCCAGCAGCAATCTGGTCGTCTGTCAGGTTCACTGGAGACAGTGCACTCTCCTGAGGGGGGAGGGCATCCTGGCAGATGGGCTTCCCTTCCTCTTGCTCATGCAGGGACGTCCTTGATGGTGCTCCGGACTGAAGGGCTCCACACTTACAGAAATGTTCCAGGTTATTTCCTGTCAGGAAAGAGGAGGGTATTAGAAGTATGTGATGTTAACCCATTGCCCTAGATTCCAGCCAATCACAACCATAAGGGACAGAGTAGAACAGCCTGCTGGGCCTTCTAAGGCTGCAATCTTTACAGAAGCTCATTGCGACACCTGCAACACTGTGACTGAACTAAAGAGGGTAAACAGTTTTCATAAAAGATTCTAGCAAATGCATCACTTTCTCAAGTGCCTCCCCCCCCGTGTTTTGTATCTGTATAAATGGCGTGACTGTCCAAGTCAACAAGCTCTAACCCACAAGGCCTTCTTCAGCTTTCAATCATTTCTCCTGACCACCACATCCAGAGCTGCCAAGCCTTGTCGGACGAACTCCACATTGCCTCTCCTTCCCTCTGGCTGGTTGCGGCCCCCAGCCCTGGCTCTTGCCACCAACCCTCCCGACTTCCTGGATTCCTTACACACAGCTGCTGAAGCAATGCTACCACTCAGTTCTAATGCCAGCACTGAAAATCCAGTTGGTGTTGCATTGACCCCCAACTCCCACTCATAGTGCCTCATCCATGTCACAGCAGGACTGTGTCCCACAAGGTTTTCTTTCTTTATTCCCCCCACCTTGGCTGCATATGATTTTTTTTTTTTTCTTAAATCTTACTGGGTTTTTGGTGAAAGTTTTCATAGCGAATATCTACACAAATTGTTCAGTGACGTTAGTTACATTTTTCACGTGTCAATACTCTCTTTCATCGCATTCTGGTTGTTTCATTTCCCCGTAGGGTTTTTAGGGACTGATTTTTCAAGAGATCATGAGGCCTTTCTTCCGAGGCACCTCTGGGCAGACTCAAACCTCCAATATCTCAGTCAGCAGCTGTGTGTGTTAACCGTTTGCACTGCCCAGAGACTCCAATCCCCCCTGACCTCAGCTTAGATAAAATGAGACAGAACTTAAAATCTCTCCCACTACTCAGGAAATGGAGCCCACATGCTCAGCCAGACACTCCTAGCCATTCTTAACCCAGCAACAACCTGCTTCTCAACCTACTTGTCACTACTCCTGGGGCCCTACTGGGACTGGGCCGACACCCCAGTAAATGGAACGGCTCCTGGGGTGAAAGGGGGGGGCTGTCCCTCACTGCCCTGAGGACACACTTCAGCTTCTTTTCTTTCCTTACTTCTCTCTTCCCCACCCTCCCACAGCCAAGCCCTCCCCCGTCTCAGATTCTGAGGCAGGTGCCTTGTCTGGAATGTACTGGATTCCAACAATAACCACCCACATACTATCTAAAGTGAGACATTAGAGAACATGTGAAGTTTAAGGTCTCCCACTCCCACTAGGAATCCCACATGCCATAGCGCTGGAGGAGAACTCACAGTTCCTGATTCTAGGTCCAGTACTATGTCCGCTAATCAACAGCACCAAGCTTCCTCTCTCATCTCACAAGGATGGGGGCCCAAGTGACACGTATTCACACACACACACAAACCCCACCCACATACACACAGAGACACACACTCACATATACAGACACTAAACACACACTTGCAAACATACACACTAACATGTACAGATACACACACATAACACACCACACACATACACATATGCAGCACACATACACTCACATATACAAAGAGACACATATTCATACACACACAGATACATATAAATAGCACACATATACCACCCACAAACACACACATATACATACACACTCACATATATACACATACACACACACACACACTCATACACACCATGCATGCACATACACACAGTCGTATCAAGCACACACACAGACGCACAGACATACACATCTACATACACACACCTGCGATCAAATGCAGCCCTCCAAACATTCCCACTTGGGGTGCTTGTCCATGTTTGCACAGTGTGGACAATAGAAAGCCTTTCGTAAATGCCTGGGCAATTCAAGGGAGAGCTGTGAGGACTCTGCTGAGCCCAAGAACAACCTCCAACAGTAAATTAACTCTCATTTGCTCAAGTCAGAGGGAATGTATCATCTGGAGTCCCTGGGTGGCACAAATGGCTAATGTGCTCAGCTGCTAACTAGAAAGGCGGAAAGTATGAGGCCACCCCGAGGACGCTGGAAGAAAGGCCTGGCCACCTACTTCTGAAAGATCAGCCACTGAAAACACTATGGAGTGCAGCTCTACTCTGACACACACCAGGGTGCCAGGAGTCAAAGTTGGCTTGATGGCAACTGGTAAAATGATCAGAGACCGTTTTCCTGGCTGGTCTGGAATGGCCTATAAATAATTCTCTGAGCTTGATAAAGACCCACCTGTGGTTGGAGGCCACACACAGGATGACATGCACCAGGCATGACTCTGATAAATGACTGCTGTGTCCACTCAAAACAAAGGAAATGTGTAGCCAGCCAAAATCCCCACTGCCATAGAATCAATTCCAACTCATAGCACCCCTAAACAAAGTAGATCTGCCCCAAAGGGTTTCTGAGGCTGTAAATCTTTACAGAAGCAGACTGCCTCATCTTCCTCCTGCAGAGCAGCCATTGAGTTTGAACCGCTGACTTTCAGTTAGCAGCCAAGTGCTTAAACCACTGTGTCATCAGGGCTCCTACCAACACAGCAGTCAACCAGCATCAACTTTAAGAAGAGAAAGAAACATAAATTCTAGAGGTACAGTTTAGTCACTGCTAGGAGGCCTGGCCACGCAATGGTTAAGGGCTCAGCTGCTTACCCAAAAGTTGGCAGTTCAAACCCACGCAGAGACTCTGAGGGAGAAAAGACCTGGTGATCTGCTCCTGTCAAAACTACAACCTGGAAAACCCTATGAGCATTTCTGTCACATGGTATTTACAGTCAGAAATGGACTTGACAGCACCCAACAAGAGCAGGGCCATTTTGATCACTTCCTGGGAACACAGCAGACAGCTGCCAGGAATGTCTCGACGAGTGGGCTCTCATTTAGAAATTAAAATGCTAGAGTGGACTGAGGATCAGATTCTCCTTCACCACAACCCCGCACTCATTTAATTACACATCCTCCCAAGGCCTGACCCAGAAAACCCTGACCAGCTAATTGACGAGAGCTGGTAGAGAAGATGTCTCTGTGTTCTTCCCGAGACAGTGAACGTCCAACATCTCCTTCAGCTCATCTCGAACATCTCTTGGAGGGCTGTGCACCTACATTCTTTCTGCACTCCCCATCAGCACTTTGCTTCCTAACACAGACTGCCACAGGTATCATTCACACTCCACATGTCTGTGTCCTCACTTGCCTATGAGACATCAAATTCTTTAAGGTGCAGACAACTTGGTGTTTGTCTCCATCACTGTACCTTTTTGCATGTATTTTATTTAATAAAACAATAACAACAACAACAAAAACCAAAAACCCAACATCTGCAGTGAGGCTGACCCCGACTAATGGCAACACCTCATGTGTGTCAGAGTAGAACTATGCTCCACAGGGTTTCCAATGGCTGATCTTTAGGAAGTAGGTCACCAGACCTTTCTTCTGAGGTACCTCTGGTGGGGCTGGACCTCTATTCTTTTGGTTAGCAACACATTAACTGTCTGCACCATGCAAGGATACCACTTTGCATACGTTGTTGGGTGTCGTGGAGTCGATTCTGATTCATCCAACACGGTATGACAGAGCAGAACAGCCCCATAGGGTTTTCTTGACTGTACTCTTTATGGGAGCAGATCACCAGGTCTTTTTTCCTACAGAGTGGCTGGTGGGTTTGAACCACTGACCTTTCATTTAGCAGCTGAGCACTTAAATCATTGCACCACCAGGTCTCCTTACTTTGCATATAAAAACACTGCCATTAAGTTGATTCTGACTCAAGTGACCCTACAGAATAGAGTACAAGTGTGTCATAGGGCTTCCAAAGCTAAATAATTGTGGCTAGCTGCCATAGACTTGGTCCTGACTCATGGCAATGCCATGCACAGGGAACACATGCTCCTGCACCATCCCCATAATTGTTCCTCCCCGTTGGACAACTGTGATCCACAGGGTTTTCACTGACTGATTCTGAAAGCAGGTCTCCAGACCTTTCTTCCTTGTCCATTGTAGTCTGGAAGCTCTGCTGTAACCTGGTCAGCATCAGTGACATGCAAGCCTCCACTGACAAACGGATAGTGCCTGTACGTGAGATGCATTGGCCAGGAATCAAACCCAGGTCTCCCCCACGGAAGGTGAACATTCTACCACTGAGCCACCAGTGCCTCAAGACTAAATCGGTGCTATTGAAAATACATGTTCCTTTGTTGATGGATGCTATAGGCCTTGTACATTTTAGCTGATTATTAGGTGAACGCTTGCAGGATGTGGGGAACGTCACAAGGAATTAGACCAAGAAACCTCATCACACAGCCAGGCAAACTGCCCCCGATGGCCACACTCAGGGTGTTCTACACATTGCTCTAGAGTCACGGCTGAACATTTTTGGCAGGAATGTGAAATACAAACCCCAGTCTGGGGTGGGTGGAGGAAGGCTGGGAGGAAAATGGTTCAGGACGGATGTGCATCTGGGTCTGGAGGGATTTAAGAATTTTGTCTTGATTCCAACCTGTGACATCATGATTTTCAAAAGGATGTGGAAGCAGACGTATTACTAGTTACTCAAGGAAGGCTTTGCATCAGTCTGCATGTCATTTTAATCCTGTTTATTCTCAAATGGCTCCCTGTACATTTATCAGACCTCTTTGATGCTAACCCACACATCAGCTGTCATGGGTGCCTTTTTACCTCCATAATAAATGATCTGCACAAAGTTACTAACAACTGCTACAAATTCAGGGTTGAAAGTGGAAACCCAGAAAAGTAGGTTTCTGTCCATTTTAAGTACCACCCTCTCACACTCCAACAGAAAGGCTTGGAAGTTTCTGGTAATGGCTTACTTACATTTAAGTCTATATTGCATATTTTCACATAAAATTTAATACACAATAGTTATTTGACAAATTTGTATTAACTTTTCAGGTAGTATTTGGTCAGAGTGGCGTGTGTGTGTGTATGTATATATACAGTACATATAAACTATAAATAGTCTGTATATAGGGAACTCTGGTAGCATAGTGGTTAAGGCATTTGGCTGCTAACCAAAAGGTTGGTGGTTCAAACCCACTAGCTGCTCCGCAGAAGAAACATGAGGCAGTCTGATACTATAAAGATTTACCACCTTGGAAACCCAATGAGAGTCACTATGAATTGAAGTCAACTCGATGGCTAGTTTGATTTTTGAAAGTTTAACAGTTGGTATGTATTATACATATAATACATACGTTTTATATATGTACTACATACAATAAGGAGCTCTGATGGCATAGTGGATAAGGCACTTGGCTGATGACCGGAAGGTCAGTAGTCCAAACCCACCAGATGCTCTGTGGAAGGAAGATGGAGTGATCTATTTCTGAAAAATGTACAGCCTTGGAAACCCAGCGGGGGTCACTATGAGTCAGAATCAACTTGATGGCAGTGGGTTTGGTTTTTGGTATATATACACTTTTTTTTTGGTAGGCTTCCCAATCCCACAGATCAGTGTAGCATGTTAACAAAAGAAACCATACTTGACAAGCTGCTATTGTCACCACCAATCTTGACAGTCAAGACCTGGTGCTTGCTGAGGGCACGCACATGCATTTCACTTGCAGCCTCATGGGATGGGAACTTTTCGAATCTCCATCTTACAAGTGAAGTGTAGAGAAGGTGTACTCCCCAGGTTACACTGCTTAGTGAGAGGCAGACAGCTAGGACTGGAACCTAGGTGGTCAGGCTCCAGTCTGAGGACGACATTCTGCATCGCCATTCCAGACACAGTGCAACCGATGGCGAGGAAAGTAACTTCAGGGAGGCTCGCTGGAAAACAGTAACCACATCATAAAATCTTCCCCACTCCCCATCTGCTAGTGTGTTTTATGTGGCGGCTGGCATGCTGCTGTGATGCTGGAAGCTAGGCTACTGGTATGTTAAATGCCAGCACGAGCACTCACAGTGGACACATTTCAGTGGAACTTCCAGACTAAGACTGATTAGGAAGAAAGAGCTGGCCATCCACTCCTGAAAATAAGCCAGTGAAAACCTTATGGGTCACAATAGAATACTGTCCAATACAGAGATGGAATGAGCCCTCTAGATTAGATGACACTCAAAATACACAGTGGCTGCAACAATGGACTAGAGGGCACCCACAACGGTGATGGCGGTGCAGGACCTGCGACGTTTTGTTCTGTTGCACACAGGGCCGGTTTGACAGCAACTAACAACAACATCTTCCAGGACAATTTCTCAGCTATGAGCTTCACTTTAAAGATAAACAGGGGGGAGCAGGAACCTCAATGAATAAGGGGAGGGATAAGAAAGAGAAAAATGTAGGGCCTAACATATGAATGGGAGCTCTGGTGGTGTAGTGCCTAAGGCTTCTGATTGTAAACCAGAAGGCTGGTGGTTCACACCTACCAGCCACTCCTCGGGAGGAAGGTTGGGCAATCTACTTTCGTAGTGATATTACCTTGGAAACCCAAGGAGGGGTTGCTATAAGTTGGATCCAACTCACGGCAGTGTGTTTGGTTTCTGTTTTAATACATAAACAAAAAGGAGCCCTGGTGCCATAGTGGTTAAGTGTTCAGCTGCTAACTGAAAGGTCAGCGCTTTGAGCCCACCAGCTGCTCCTTGGGAGAAAGATGTGGCAGTCTGCTTCCATAAAGATTTACAACCTTGGAACCCTATGGGGGCAGTTCTGCTTTGTCCTATAGGGTTGCTATGAGATGAAATTCAGTAGACACCAATGGGTTTGGGTTGGGTTTATCATATGCACAGTGGGAAGGCTCCGTTCTCTCAAGAGTGTTTGCACAAGGGCATCTCAAAGAGCCCCCAACACTGCCACTCTCCATTCCCATAAGCAGGGTTATTCTCTTCACAGCATATATCACCTCCTGATGCATTACAGGACTACTCATTAATCTGTGCTCCAACTAGAATGGAAGCACCATGAAGACAGGGCCTCTCATCAGTTTAGCTCACTGCTCTGTCCTCAGAGCCTCTCTCTCTGCCTGAAACCTATTAGGAACTCAAAGAATATGCGCACAGTTAATAAATGACCGAATAGAGTTTCTATCCCACCATAAAAATTTAATTCAGGAGCACTGGTGGTGCGATGATTCATTGCTCCGCTGCTGACTGAAAGGTGGGCACTTCAAACCCACCAGCCACTTGTTGGGAAAAAGATGTGACTGTCTGCTTCCATAAAGATCCACTGAAAACCCTTTAGAGCACATCTACCCTGTCCTACAGGGTCACTATGAGTTGGAATTGACTCCACAGCACATGACAATAGTGGGAATGGTGTATCATTTTTTTCCTGTATAAAATGAGCAAGTAAATAATTGGAAGACAAAGAATAAAGCATCCTATCAAACCAGCGAGACAGAAGGCAACCTCTTGGCCACCCAACACTGAATTTTTTTCTTGCAGCCCCAACCTCAGCTAGATACCAATAAAGCTCCCAGCTAATGAGAATCAGAAGAGGTGCTTACAGATTTTGGCTCTTGGTTTTCATCCTACCCACTGCCACTGCCACTACCCATTAAGCTTTGTCCATGGTTTCAAAAGGAGCTCTGGTGGTGTGGTAGTTATGTTTGTGTATCAACTTGGCTGGGCCTGGTTGAGTGGCTGGGTGGCTGGTGGTAGTTATTCTCCATGATGAGACTGGCAATCAACTCCATGGTGGGATCTACCACAAGCAGCTGAGTAGCTGCCTTTGGGATGTGGCCTGCTTCCTGTATATAAGCAACAGTCTTGGGAATGGTCTCTAGCCTATGACACACCTGGACCCTGCATGTAGCCATGTCATTGTTCAGCAGCCTGCCATGCTCTGCCGACCTTGGGACTTACAATGGACTTAAGTTAATGGCCTGCCGTGTGGTTTGGTAACATCAGGACTGTGCCATTTTATTTGTCAACCTTGGGGCTTCTCAGCCTCAGTATCCAGCAGCTGTCCGAGTGAAGAAACACCTCTAGCTTCAGTGGGCCAGCAGCTGGAGGCAGAGTTAAAGCCCAAGGCTGAGGGGTTTTCACCCAGCCCCTGGAGTCTGGACTTTGACTTTGACTTAAAGCCTCCAAATTTTAAGAATAAACCCCTGTTTGTTAAGGCCATCCCATTTGTGGTATATTTCTTGTCAGAGCAGTACTAGGTAACCAGAACAGGTGGTGTAGTGCCTAAGGCACTTGACTGCTAACCAGTAGGTTGGTGGTTCAAACTCACCAGCCACTCCTTGGAAGGAAGGTTGGGCAATCTACTTCCGTAGTGATACAACCTCAGAAACCCAAGGAGGGGTCGCTATGAGTTGGATACAACTCGACAGCAGTGTGTTTGGTTTGGTATGGTTCCAAAAAATGGTTCTAGCAGTTTACAAAATTCCTCATCTCCTGGAAATACATGATCCCTGCCCTTCCCCACCCCCAGTCCTCTCCGAGTGTGTCCTACCTGTGTTTTTACTCAGGCTGGTCTTCTGGGAGCCAGGGCCCCTCAACTCTTCAGTGCTTGCTGACTTCATGACAGAATTGATGGATGAAAGGGTGCTGATGAGCTGTGAGTTGAGGGAGCCGATCTGTGAGTGAGGTGCCCCAAAAGCTTCCGCCAGTTCAGTGTAGTTCTCTGCCAGCAGTGTCTGCTGTTCTGCCAACAGCTTCTGGACCCGCTCAATATAGTGGTCCAGGCCCGCCATCATTCCAGCTGGAGCCTGGGGCTGGGAGCTCTCCAGGAACTCTTGGACAGGCTCGTCCCCAACGCCAACGCTCCTCCTGCTGCCTGTTGGCCCCACGGCCAACTGTGGAGGCCCACAAGCTATGCTCCTCATTCTGAGGCCAACCAGATAGTGGTCATTGATATTTACCTGCCCCACTCCTGAATCTTTGGTCTTCACGGCTGATGGCTTTTCCAATCCAGAACTGCCAGAAAGCAATGTTCCAACACCAATGGACCGTGTCTTGTGGGGGGAGCTGATGTCCCTGACACGGCCTTCTCCTACGGCCACCGTCCTCATCTCCACAGCATGGGTGCTGGTCTGCTTGTCCAAAGTGTTCGGGCTAGTGTTAGTGCAAGAGTCTACAAGTATGGCCATCTCAGTGTTGGTGAATTGGTCCTCCTGTTTCAAAAATGTGCTGGTGTGCTGGCTTGTCATATGAGGCACCGCCATGATAGCAACTTCCACCTGGCCAACAACCTCCGTGTTCATGCTCCGGGAGGTGCACTCTGTTGGAGAGCAGACCCTCACGTCAACAGAACAATCTCCGCAACCAATAGATCGCATGTCTTTGAGAATCAAGCTCGTCTTGAGGAGTGTCAGGTCGTTCACAGACTCCTCTGTGTTGCTGCCTGTCTCACAGACACTGACGGCCACACCCACACTCTTGTCGCACATCTCCACAGACCTCCCAGTACATCGGTCATGCACTTCCACCTTCTCCTTAACAATCCACCGATTCATGGGCAGCTCAGGCCCCACGACAGTGCTCTTACAATCAGGCCAGCAGGAGACGCCTATGCTGTGTGTTTGCACAGTGGTCCCGACACAGGCGTCCACCATGTCTGTGTGACTGCCTACCATTTGGTCTCTCGTCTGCACCACGGCCTCTACCATCTTGCTGAAGACAAGTGGCTGGGCCATCATGGCTTTGTCGACCTTTTTCCTCGACCCGGCGGCCTGCAGTTCTTGCTTCAGTTTCGTCATCTCCCGGTCATGGGTGGTTTCTTTGAGCTGTACCTCCAGGCGATAGATCTTCTCCTTTAAGGCTTCTATGGTCTGCTGTTGCAGCTCAATTTCTTTGTCGGCTTCTGTGGTTACTCCCAGCATGGCCTCTGTCACACCGACGCCAGAATTCTTCGTCTCAGTGACCGTCCCGACAGCTGCATCCTTCCGGGACCTGGAGCCCCTGTGGTATACGACGATGTCATCCATGGTCTCATCAGCACCCACTGCCACCGATCGGCTGTCTCGGGGCCGGCACTCCCCGTTCTCCCTGAGCCCCGAGGTGGCCTCGTAGCTGCTGTCCTGGATCTTCTGCTCCAGGGCCTGCATGTCTGCTGTGAGCTGCCGGAACTCCTTCAGCCTCTGCGTGCTCTGCTCCACGCTCTCCATCTCTTCCTCCTCATAGTCGATATACAGCTCCCCGCCACCCCTCCGGGCCTGGGAGAGCTGCTGTAGCTGGGAAGCATTCCCAGCACTGTAGGATCGCTTCCGGAGACCGCAGACATCGTTTTGGGGGGCAGCCCTCTGGCTTTTCAGCTGTGAGGCCAGCTGTCTTTTCTCCTCTTGCAAGACAGAGATCTTGACCTGGAGCACAGGGATGGTCCGCACCTGCTCCTCCAGCTCCTTCAGGCGCTTCAGGGCAATGGCCATCTGCTCACGAATGTGCTGCAGGTGCATGGGGCTCACGTTGGTCACTGGAGTGGAGACCCCTGAGCTCAGCGGGCTGTGGCGGATGGAGCTTCCCATGGAGGAAGTGGTGGCGGCGGCTGGGCCATAACTGCTATAATCCCCATTGCCCTGGAAACCATTCTGAAGCTGGTGCATGGCAGGGTTGTGGTTTCCGGGACCCAAAAAGGAGGGGAGAGGGCTTGTGGAGCCCATGCCTCCAAAACTGGCCAGCCTGGGCCTTCGGAAGTCCCCTGGTGCCACCTGCATGGTGGCTCTCTCCTGTTCGAGTCTTCTCCGGGTCTCCATCAGTGTCTTGGTGACATGAAGGTTGTGATTTGGAAGTTGGGGAGAGGGAGGTGGCAGCTGTCGAGTTTCTGGAAGGGTAAGGAAGGTGGGAGAGGTCTCCAGAGGAGCAGATGGCCTTGGAACTGGGGTTGACGTCACGTGGCTTCTGGCTAGAAGGAAGCCAGGGCACTGCTTGCTGTTGTCACTGTCAGAGGAGGAGAGGGATTCGGTGGACGTCCACACACCTTGCCGACCATGTGTGGCCTTGGCTTCTGGGCATGGTGTGGAAGACTTCTGTCTCTTCTGGATGTTCAGTTTCTTGATGGTGTTTCCCTTCTGTATGTCATCCACATACTTGAGGAAGTCTAAGTCCAGCTGATAACCATAGGGGGTCTCTACAAAGTAAGGGTCTCTCTGTTCCTTGTCATGGTCTCCATTCAGAACGTCATCTGCTTTTCCTATAAGAGAGAGAGAGAGAGGAGATCGTTGTAATGCCTTGTGCGATACGCAGGAGTACAAACTAATGTTCATGCGTGGTGCAGTGTGGTGAGCTGTTGTGACTGTCAAGAGTCTGACAGACCTAAGTTCTCATCCTGGAAGTACAACTTACAGCTGGGTAAGCAAGTCAATAAACCTCTCTGGACTGCAGCTTCCTGCTAAGCAAAAATGGAGAATACCAAAACCAAAACTAAACCCCTTGCCGCTGTTGTCGAATGCGACTCAGTGCCCCCAGAGGATAGAGTAGAAGTGCCCTGTAGTGTTTCCAAGGCTGTAAATCTTCATGGAAGCAGACATCTTTCTCCCTTCGAACAGCTGGTAAGTTCGAACTGTCCACTTTTCGATTTGCAGTCAAGTGCTTTAACCACTGCACCACCAGGGCTCCAAGAATACAGAATATTTTTTTAACTCATAGTTCGTTAAAAGAATGTCATGAGACAATGGTTTTAAAGAGCCAAACACCGAAGTCCTTCCTAAATAATTTAATTTTGTTTGAAAGCATGTATTAAAAAAGATCTGAAAGCTTTTTCAAACACATCATTGCTTTTGTCCTCTGTGGTCCTTTGAATGTGGAAAGTAGACATTAAGATTCTTATTTTACAAAATGTAATCTGAGCACAAAAGTTAAGTCTTAGAATAACAGAGTAAGTCAGAAGCAGATCCAGGGAACCTGGGAGAGTTTGCCTGCCTCCGGCTCCTTCTAAACAGCAGCCAAGCGCCCCCTAGTGGCTGGCCGTAAGACCACACTTTACCTTCACACCTTCCTTGCTGAGAAAGCGGTGACACAGAGGACACTGAATGATTAACTCTGGCGGCAGCGGCGTATGTGTAAGAACACAGTCAGAGGGTAGATTTCAATTCCTTTGTGTTGTCCATTGCTCACTTCATCCCCCTGCTTAAAAACAATCACCACCAAAAACCTCTCCCAATTTGGAACAAAAATCTCCACTTGACTTCTTTTCGATTTTTACTCACTATCCCAAGAATATGCCCTTGTTTTATATTCATGAGGAGTCCAAACAGATGCAAAGGAGAATGAAAACTCGGGCCAACCTAGACTCTGACCACTGCAGTCATGTGGCACTTCACTTCTGGCTAAACCAAACATTTATACAAAGAAAACACAAGAACCTTTCAAAGCACAGATCTTGCTGCTGACCTGGGTTACGTCTTTCAAAACTTAAAAGCAAGGCCGTTTTTGTTGAAACTGTAAGATCAAGTAAGATCCTAGAATCATACCAACAAGCTTTACATTTTTTGAGCTCTTCCAGAGTGCTAAGGTCTTAAAAGCAATGAGAGAAAACGCCAAGTCATCTGCATATATACTTATCCTAGGTATATGAACCCACCTGATTACTGTCAAGTTTCTGGGTTTCCTGACTGCCCCCCAGCCCCCAATACTACCTGACAGTGGGAATACGCTGAATAAAATTTTAAGAGTCTTGCCTCCATTTCACCCCCTTTCCCCTTAAAATGTTGGAATGCAAAAAGTAAGACTGCCAAACAAGAGAATAAAAGGATTATAAACCTGTGTTAAAATTTAAAACATTATATTGCTCTAGCAGTTAGAAATTAAAGCACTAGATTTCAATTCTAACACACGCAGAAATACAACTGTATTTTTTAAGAAGCGCTCAGCAGCAATCGACTGTTTTCTAGCTTAAGAAAGAGTGTGAGTCTAGCAGAAGTGCCTGGCCGTGAAAGGAATACTCAAGCTAATGAAACTTGCCTTTTCTTCTCTTTCTTATTTCAAAGTTTTCAATGCCACATGGAGAACACGCTCACTCAAACTATGCAGCCAGACCTGTTTCCAGGGCTGTCTGGAATTCCATAACCAAAGAGAAACTGCAGGCTCCGGTGTCAGGCAGAGGCAGGGAGCTCTTGCGGCCCCGAGCCAGTGAGGCTGAAGTAGCCCACTCTGGACCCAGCCGGGTCTCCCGAGTGGAGAGCAGAGGCCGCTGGGCTCACAGCCTTTCTTCCCGGCCCTCTATCGTACACGGGAGAATTGAGGCAGCGATGCTTAGGCCCTGAGCTATCCACTCGTCCGCCCACGCCACTCACTCGCCTGCCTGCGCGCCGCCCACCCACGCACCTACCAGGAGCCGCCGGCCCGTCTGCCTCGCTGCGCTGCACCCCAGTGAGCTCGCCGCACCAGGGCTCGGCCTCAGACGCCCGCGTTCCTCACCCCATAAGGAAAGGAGGTCCAACATTCGTGTCAGCTTAGCCAGGCCACGCACAAACACCATAGGCCGACGGTTCACCAATGGAGACCCGCTGCAGCTTGGGTTACACCACCCCTAACACACTCAGCTGTTCGGCATTCCCTGTTTGCTTAATGAAAACAGGAAACCGGGCTCTTTTGAAAACGCGTGTGCTCCAGTGCTCTGTTGCCAGGAGTAAAAATAAGGCCAGCAATTTAAACATCGCCACAGAGAGAGGCTCTGTCTCCCCTGTACCAGTCACTTCTTCATGAAAGAGTTTGTGTTCTTGTGTGGCAAGCTAAGCGGCCTCGGTCCTCCCTCATCTCAGGAAGCCCAGAGGCACAACTGACCCCAGTGTTCTCGCAGGTTCCGAAAGGGCCTGTATGTCAGGACCCACTGGTTCCAGAGCACCCCACCGACTCTTCTCAACGTGGTCCCTAACAAGCAGTTCTCCTCAGAGTTCACTTCGGCTGAGCTTTGCTGCTGGTGAAACCTTTGTTTCTTTTAATGTTATATACCAAAAGAAAATAAACATCCAAACAAGAAGTCTTTTCCACTTCCAGTTACAAAACGGGTACCTACTTGTAAAAAAGAGAAAGCGGCACGTTCAGAACCATTTAAAGAAGAAAGTCACTCAGAATCTCACCTCTAGTGCCAAATATTAGTATTTTGACATAGCTCCTTTAAGATTTCTCAGCACAGCTGCTTCTTCCATTTAACATTATAGCTTAAGCATTGTGAATAGGAAACTTTAATTTTTGTTTTGTCTTTTCCCTTCAAACAATGTTTTCAAAATGAAATGAATGGATGTAATTTCAGAATTTGGGACAGCAAAACACAACACACTTCACAGCCAAAATTAACTGGCCCCTCCCCTACGTTATTTCTAAATTCAATTCATAGAAATTGTGAAAGGTTTGGGTCACACTGAATTATCCCCAGATGAACTCTGGACTTTAAAAACTGGGCATCAGTGGTGGTTTGAATGTAACCATGCTTGGCTTTATTATTTCCTGACACTGCCTGCACCAGGGCCATTCTGAACCTGGCTGAGGCTTCCTGAGTGGTAAAGCAGACAGCCCCAAGGATCTGTAATCCAAGTTTCATTCTCTGTCAACAGGAAGAGCAAGATGTGTCCTCAAGGTGTGAGCTCCACAAGAAACTGTCCATGGTAAAAATTATTCTGTAACCACAGACAGACATCTAGTGCCGTTACTGATTATCACCTGCTTTCTAGTGCGCTTTTACATACATTAACATAAATGTGGCACTCAGGGGCTTCAGCTTTATTTTCCAGTTGCTTCCTGTATGTCTCCCTGGGCTAGGATAAGAGCATGTTGACAGTAAAAAGTTGAGTTCAAAATTCCCTTCATTGCTCTGCCCTTCCAACCACATACCAATTAACAAGATGCTGGGGACAACTTTGATGTTTACAAATGTTTCCGGAAGAAATACATACTTGAATATGTGACACAATGAACTTTGACAAAAATCTCAGTGCTCTGGAGATTTTTAGCTGGGCAAATTTAAAGGCTGTATTTCCCTAGCCTCCTTTACTATTAGTGGGGCCATAACTGTAGTGACATGTCATGTAGCTACTCTTAGGAGTTGTAAGTCCTTCCTTATAAGGCTCAGGAATAGCTCTCTGGCCTTCTTTATTCTTAGTCCCTTCTTCCATCCTGCTACCTGGAAGACAGATGTAACATATGGTACACAAGCAGCTATCTTGGTCCACGAGGTCACCCTCTAGTGAATGGAGGACTCTGGATCTCCAAGGGCTTCAGGGATCAAAGCTTTCATACCATTCCTGGAGAGGCTCCTCTATACTTCTATAGGAAGGAGGAACAAACCTCTCTTCTGCTTTAGCTATTGTTTGTTTGGGGTCTCTGTTACCTGCAGCTAAACTGAATCCTAGTGGGTACATGTCTCTGCCACAATCCTCTCTCCCCCTCAAAAAATTAAGACTAGACCTTGAAGAAATACTAAATGATAAACCAGGGAGATGCTACAATAAAACTTTTTCACGACAAAACAATTTGTAAATTCAAGAATAACTAAGAAGTATAATCAAACCAAAAACTAAACTCACTGCTGTTGAGGTGATTTGACTCATAGCAACCCCTCCCTAGGTTTCCAAGGTGCTATCTCTATGGAAGTAGATTGCCATCTTCCTTCCGAGGAGTGGCTGGTGGGTTTGAACCACCAGCCTTCTGGTTAGCAGTCAAATGCCTTAGGCACTATGCTACCAGAGCTCCTAGAAGCATAATAGCAACAGTTTAAAAAAATCTGAGTGGGTGATACGGAGAATCCTGACTACCCAATAAGGCCTTTTCTGAGTAATGCAGCTATGCCTGCTTCCACCCAGTCCAATACCGCTGGCTGTATCTCTCAAATGGAACAGCTTTCTAACGAAATATCCTAGAATTGAGGGCTGGGCTATCTGGCGTTCACAAGAATTTTCTGAATGTAAGAATTTTCTGAATGTCTGGAAGGGCAGTGGTAAGGATGGTTCCTGGCACCACCTATGCTTTTGTAATGTAGCATTTCTGGTGGGCTTCATTAGGTATAGAAAAGGCACCTAATTCAGTGGGAAGAGTAGGAGGAAGAATATGCAAGAAACGAAGTGAAGAGACAGAGTCTAGCTGGGTGGCAAATGGCTGACACTCTAAACCTAACTCTAATTGAGCGCAGACACAAAGGCGTACTATCAACAAAAACAGCACGCTAATACGTGGGCTAGTGACTAGATGGAAG